CCAAAAGACAAATCCCATGGTCTCATTAACATGCTCAAGTTAAAAGCACAGAGGGAATCCACAGAACTAGATTTCCTTCTTTGTTTCCTTCAAAGAGCTAAAAATAAAGCAACCCGTAGTCAATGAATGCCTGAGAAATATAACTGTAAAAGAGAGTTTGGTAAAGTAACTCTATGAATAAAAGCTCTCTTGAGCTAATCCAGTAATGACTGAGTGCAAGTGAACAGGTCAGGAAATATGACTACGAATAGGTCTGGAGGTAAATATGTCTGGCTGCCCTCCTGAACGTGATGTGAGACGACTGAGTGACTGATTCAATATGTCTGAGCACGAGTAAAAGAGCATACTGATCTAATATGACTGCAAGGATAAAAGATCATGTGTGTGAACGATTATCTCACTGACTCTACAAGTAGAAGATGAGGCAAAATGACAGGAGTAAGTGAAGGAAAATAGGAACATCTGAAATGCAGAAAACAGTGACGAAAATAGTTGCTGGTGGTCCATTGCTGGTAATCAATGGAAAATCCAAATTTACAATTGACTTATATGTAGGATGGAAGCGTACTGCTGAGGGCATGAATTTGCCAAGCCCTGCACCTGGCTTATCCCAAAGATCCAACAAGTTAAATTGTGACATGAAGAGTAATTGCAAAGAATTCTTACTATTGAGAGGACTTTCTTAAATAGAGTGTCCCCTGACTTCTCTTAAGTGACTTTATAAAAAGGACATATGCAAAGGGCCAGGTCTTCCAGACATGCTTGCAGAATAATAGGAACACTTTTTGAAGAGGAGTGGGGATAGAATACCTCTTTCTGCTAGGGACCTACTAAATTTATAAGTTCATCTGTTCATTAATATATATTTAGTTTCAATTTTTCTAGGTAATGTAAGTGACCTTATTCTTTTTTGCTCTTTCTTGAACAGTTTCTTGTGTGTGTGGGTGGAGGATATTAAATATGGTTATAAAATACCACTTCATTCATTTTCGTCAAAGATTTTGTACTCTGTTGCGTGAGGAGAATTACAGCACAAGGTATAGCAGCAGCAAATAGAATCCTCTAGCACAGCTGTCTACCTGAGTAAAGTGCAAAGTATGGTTCACAAGATGACTTGTCTACCCAACAGATTTAACAAGACCAGAATAGCTGAAGTATCATAACTCTCAGCATGCAGTTACTCCAAGTAAAACTAGATTCGTGCCCTGTATGTAAATGTAATGGTATAATTACCTTAATATCAATCTATCCTCCGTCCATAGGTTTTACAACACTACAACCACAATAAAATAAATGCACAAACGTGTGTATGTGTGTATCTGTTCGTCTTTCCACCTCAGTATAAAAACAGAGTTAGTAAGTAAATATCTGAGATATCCCTGCTCTTTGCAATTTGTAACACTCATACACAGACTTTATCCTCTGCAGTTTCTTTAATCTTCAAGTTGGTAAGAATTAGGTACTTTCCTTCCAAGTTCTTCAAAAATTTTATATTTATTTTAGTCTAATTTTTTCTTGCAGCAGCAGCTTTCAATATTTTGTGAACTATTGACTGTTTCAGATTATTAAAATATGCTATACATCCTTTTCAAGTATGAAAAACAAAAAATCAACTTCTCTTATTGTGATTCCCTTTAGATGTCATTAGCGTGTTCAGAAATCACAGAAATACAGATATTCATATACGTTTACTTCTCTTCCATTGCCATCTGAAAGGGGGGATGGAGTAGGCTACAAACATAATTTGCTTGGTACTTCAGATCATTGTTTTGCTGAAGACCTAAATGGATGGAAGAAAATTCTTCCTGACACAAGACAGTGGCATGTTCTCAGAATGAAATATAGCAAGAGCAGTGGAAGTTACATACACAAAACCTTCTGTTGTTGTCATAAATTGATAATAATGTCATTTGAGGTGGGAAGGTTATCCTTATCTCTGGGGTATAAACAGTGTGTTTCTGCTGATGAAAGGATTATGAAATTTGAAAAGATAAGCAATCATAAATTTAAAATTATAATATTGTTTCCAATATTAGGCAAGAGGCAGCTACTCTCTGAGTAGCTTTTTGGACCTGCTACAAATGTTATAAACAGGCACAATAACAATGACACAGGAATACATTTTAAAATCACTTTACACCACTTTTTCCCCCTTTTGCTAACTCTCAATTAATATACCAGCATAAATTCATAATACAAAAAGACCTCATCTTGAGACTGTAGGAAAAATGGAAATTTGTATTTCCAGTCAGGTTGTACAAGTTTCCCTTGTTTCTGCCCCTTTCAAGTCAAGGACATTTTAGTATATTTTAATAATTGTCCCTTTTCTCAAAATTGTGGCATGAGTGTTTTCTCCTCTCTCTATGTTTCACACCCTTCTGAGGGAAATGCACATTTGTTCCTGATCAAGCCCATGAGAAACTTTGGGCATAGTTCTGGACTGCTGCATATTTAAATTCATGAGAAGGAGTCTGAAAGCAGCTGGGTTGCAAAGTTAGACCTGTGTTGGGTCCATCCTAAAGGTGCAAGTTCAGTAGCACCAGCTGCAACTTGAGCAGCCCATGCAGAAAGCTCTCTATGGCTGTTGCAAGCAGAGTTGCCTGGTCCCAGTGTGGACCACGAAATTACTCCTCAGTCCCGGGGGAACTACTATTCACCATCCCACCAGCCTCTGGGGATGTTTATCTGAGTGCCCTCAGGCCATTCTCATTTCATCCCCAGCATCTTGGGCTGTCATTCTCACCCTTTCCTGAATCCAGATACCCAAGGACAGTCTCCAAAGGTTCCTTTCTAAAGCATCATAATGCATTGTGCTTGTGCAATAGTGACTCATCTCGCTTCTGAGAAACCTATCTCTGCTCTACTGCAACCCAAAAAAATGAAGTCAAATGTCAGCTGACCGTGATCAACTTAAAAAAGCTTGCAGATGCCCTTAAGAGAGACTCATAAAAAGAAACTAGGAAGTCCTTTAGGCAAAATAAAGCATATCAGTTGACTTATCTCTGTCAATAATATCAAAAGCCACTTACTAATTTATTCTGCAGCAGGGTGTAGGCAGAGATAGTCCTCCTCCTGTCGGTTACCACTTCTGTCCCTTCAGTGAGCGCGTTGCATTTGCAGCAATTGCAGACTAATCCCATGCTGGTGGGGGTTATACCTCTGTCAGAGAGCACAGGAATGACACAAAGATAGACTGAAGTGGGGGCGAGGGTGGGAGAGAGAATGAAGAATAAAAGTGCTTTAATTCACAATTATTTCATTGTGTACGGTTTGAAAAAACTCACACCAACTCCATAATGGACAAGGACTGCTTTAGGAATAGAAATTATTCCATTGTCATATTCATGAGTCAGTGAAGAAGACAGAAATACAGGAGCAATAAAATGTAAGGGGCCTTGTGATTTCATGATTAGGTTTTATATTATGATTGTGGCAAGCTGCTGTTTAATGGACAGATTTTCCTTCCACTTAAGTCAATGGGTCTTTTCTGCTGATTTCAGTGTTATAGATTCTCAACTTGCTCTTCACTTATTTGATGATTTTAGATTTTATATGTCTGTCAATTGGTGTTTCAGCAAGTTCTTGGTGATCCATCAAAAAGTCCAATAGGCTTTTACCATCCTGTCAGCTATTTTATAGCCTTCCTTTATCTTAAAATATCCAAGTTCACAAATAATAATTTTCTCTCTCCCTCTGTTGACTGTGGGGACCCTTATAACAAATTTTAAATAAAACTGTGCGGTTCTGTTAGAACTCAATCTGGGGAGAAAGCAATTTTGTCACATTGCCTGGGACTTTTCCCTCTGTCTCTTGTTCTCCTTGATGATCTTACAGGGAAAATAATTTATGAAACATTAAGAGTCACAACAAGCCCTCAGAGATGCAAAGGAGGACTGGGACTAGCAATTAGACACCTCATTATATCAATGTAACTAATCACAGAGGTAGCTTTCCTTCACCAGCAACAAGACATGACCAGAATTGTTGAGATTGCGGGTCCAACATCTTAAATCCTGACAACATCTGTTCTGACTAACAGTATCCTTATGGATAGTCTGTTGCCTATCCAATAGCAGTTAGTTTAAGAGAAAGCAGACTTTCGACCTACCACTATAGTGTGTGATGTCTTTTCTTTGGATGTTAGCAACATCTGCAAAGAGGTCATGAAATCAGCTTTAGGACATTCTTGTATTTGAGTACTGTAAATGCAGAAAACATTTCGGTATTCCAGTTAAAGTTTTGTAAAAGTAGCTCAATGCAAATGATGTTGAAATAGCATTCAGTTTCCTTTCTGCTGTGACTTAACCATGCTTTGTCAAAAATGAGACTTTTGAAGGCTTCTTATTGTTTGTGAAAGTCCTGTGACAGAAATGGTACTTAGTGGTATTTTTCTGAAAAAATATACTAAAGGGTATTGCTCCTCTTGTTTGTTTATTAATAACTGTTTCTGGACTGTGAAGTTAGGAGGAGACAAAGAGTGAGCGCCATATCTAGACTGAAATCCACCTAAGACTGGTGATGATGAGGTTTAAAAGAAGTGCAGAACTGAAGAACTCAATCTGACATATTTTTTTTCTGCTATTTTAATGAATGACATCAAACTCACTGAAACTTTTTGTTCTTTTCCATACCAGGATTAGATAAGTTTTAATTTGGGCTAGTTAACATATATGAATGATGCAGTATAAAAAACCTGTATCCAACAGGTCATTTTGCAAACAAGTTGCCCAGAGAAGCTGTGGATGTGTTCCAGACCAGGTTGGATAGGGTTTTGAATAACCTGGTCTAGTGGAAAGTGTCCCTGCCCATGGCAGGGGGGTTGGAACTAGATGGTCTTTAAGGTCTCTTACAACTCAAACCATTCTATGATTCTTTGATTCTATAATTCTATGATTCTATGATTCAATGGTTAAGCAAAACACAGTAGAGTTTGCAGGACTAGCACGTATAAAAATGCACTCTAGGTAGCCTAGAATTTCAGTTGAGAGAAGCTACAGCAAAGGACTTGTCCAGTGACCATAGACCTTCTGTGGCCTTTACTGGAAGCTGCTGTGGGACAGACTCTTCACAAACTTCCCCAGGTAAAAGCAGTCTGGGGTAAAAACAGTGGAAGTCTGGAAAAACAGTGGTAATCACATCTAGGAGGCCTGGCACATAGGTGAATGAGGGGTTCCACAAATTTTTTGAGGTTTAAGAGTATAATTTGAGGCTTAAGAGTATAATTTGAGTGTGATTTGAGTATTAACAAATACTTTTTAGTGCCATTTTTGAAGTAGGTTATTGAAACTATTCTCCACTCCTTGAGGGTCTTGTAGTATAGTCACTTAGATAAGATAGATGGTACCTATAGCTGCACTTCACTTGGGGAATAATTAGTAGCATTCAGGTTCCAAAAACTGAACTCACCACTTCAACCCCTGCCAAAAGCCAGGGGCTAGATAGGGAGTCTGGGAAAACACTGCTCATGAGCAGGAAATTTCATCAAAAGGAAAGATCTCTCTTGGGAACATCTGCATACTGCAGCTCTCTGGGCTTCTCAGGGTGACCTTCAAACATTTGTATGATGTGGAGAGATCTCTCTAGTGATGCAAGATTTATTCAGTACTTTTTCTACTTACTATAAATGTTTTCCTCAATGAAGAGGGAGAGCCACCACTCTCACACTCTTGTAACATTTTTGGGTTTAAATGTACAGCCGAGCATTACTTCTAGGGGAAGATGATCCTATCCATGGCAGGAGGGTTGGAACTAGATGGTTTTAAAGCTCCCTTACAGCTCAAGCCACTTTATGATTCTGTAACTCTTAGCGTGGCCACCATGTTGTCCCCAGCATCACCTGGGCTAGGACCTGTCACTCTTCACAGGGAAAAAATCCCAAATTGCTCCAGAGGGTAGACAGATCTTACGTAACAGGCACTGCGGGGACAGGCGAGGTGACTTCCTCTACACTGTGTTATCACTGTGATAAAGCCTAATGCCAGCTGACACTGTTCTGCCAAGGTTAAAGTGATTTGTGGGGCTCTGTTAAGATGCTGCTCAAATATCTTTCCAATCCACAATGTTTTTAAAAAACAACAAAACCTCATAACATTTAATCTACTACCAATGTATAGTGCTTCATTTCATAGGTACCTTATTTGGTAGATATAGGTATCCTCTGTGCTTATCTCAATAGTATTTTAGTTTACATAGAAGTCATAAAAACTATTTCTAAACATAATACTCTGAAACTGGAATGCATTTTGAGAAGGAAACACTCTGTTTATCTCAGCTCTATGAAATGTAATCAGAGGCATTGATGAGCCACCCCAGGGTGGGATCCTGCTCTGGCACTACTCTGCTCTGGACAGCTGTTCTGTGGCTCTGAGACTGGAAGCAGCTTCACAATCTATATTGAGCAAATCTAACTGTAAAACTAGAAGTAAATAATACGTAGCGTCTCTCCCTGTGGTTGTGTGCTATGTACACATAACAATACTTCCAGCTGAGAAAACCATTCCCAATGTGCCTCTTTAGTGAGAGGAAACTACACTTCATACAAATACTTTAGTAGCATGCACCCCTATTCTGCTTAATCTTAGCAAGGCTTCTTTTTTCCTGTTTTAAATTCAGAGCTTCAGTTCTCTTGATCCAAGAGGTTAAATACTTCAAATCACATCAGTGCCCCAAGATTGTGAAGGGCCAGCTCAATGATGATGACTGCAAGTCGAAACATTAAGAATGCAAATTATCATCCAAGTGACAACTGTTAAGCTGTATTAAAAACTATGTTGCTTCTGCTTAACAGACACACAGATAGAAATGATGCTACTGTGAAATTTGCAGGGGTAACAGAGTTCAAAGTAGAAAGAAAGCATTTGTTCTCTTGTCTGTTCAATTGCTGTTTTGAAAACAAGCAACAGTATCACCTCAAGAAATCTGCAGCTGAGATCTGTCACCAGGCAATGTCCTTACTAATAAATAGAGGATGTTGATGAATAAAGAAAAATAATAAAAGAGCCTTTTGTATTATAAGAAATTCATCTTATTAGACTACTTTAATACTTTCTGTCATTCATAGGTGGCATATAATGGCATTTAAAGTCAAAAGCCTCTGGCTGATGACTGCTTGCTAATGCCATATAAATTCCAAGAGCTGACAGAGCTTGTCCAAATACTTCTGTACATCACACTGATTTCATCTTTTCCTTCTATCAGGAGGCAATCTTAAACTGTATAGGAATTCATTTGCTTTAAATGTGCAAAAAAGATTTCTTTACAAAGTCAACAACCAGCATGCAAGGAACAGTACTTTGCACGTCCCTTTTCTTGATTTTCGATGGTGCCCATTCTGCTTTTAAACCTCAAATTCAAATGTACCAGCAAAAATATGTCCACTTCTTCCTCCTGCCTCTGCAATTTATTGTTGCTGGAGGTCAGAGGGTTAAATACTATCTTTAGGGTTTGGGGTTTTCTTTAAAAAGCTGGATGATTTTATGACACTGCTCGGATCCCACTCTGGCATGGCACAATTCACAGTTTGAATTATATTTTGGTTGTCTCGTGGCATTTCAACTTTGACTCCAATAAAAGCAGGATCAAACCTCATTTTCTTCTAAATAATGAGGGTAGTATTGTGGCTTCACTAGAGTGTCTATCCTGAACTTGATGCATCCTTTAGCCAATCTGCTATGGCAAATCCCACATCCTTACTCCATCAGTGTGCTTTTATGACAGTGAAAAAACTGATGAAGGCATTAGTGCCAGCCAGTAAGATGGCACTACCTTACTGAAACAAGTGATGTTACCCTCATCATAAAATTTCTGACACTTTTGAGGCCTGTTAATATCTTGTTTAATGACGGACATCACAACTGTAGGCAGTTTGCAAACAGAAACCTAACCAAATATAAATACAGTAACAGTAACTAAGTTTAAAGAAAAATTGCTTTTAATGCACAGATCTAAGTACTCACCTTGCAGCAAGGAAATCAGACACAGCACAACCGAGCCAATCAGAAAGGTTTCACTAATGCCCAAGGCTTATAAATGATTGTTTCTGAAAATCATGAGAGAATACTTTGCACTTTGGCATGGAAATTAGTCATACACAACTACTCTGTATAGTGCAATACTACATATATGGCAATTTACATTCACTCCTGGTGTCAAACCTGCATTCCTAATAAGACGATTCTTTGGTGAGTTATTCTCAAATGCACAAACCAGCTTGTGACATTTGGACATTTTCTCTCTGGCTATCATCACCGCTACTTATAAAGTGGTCTTCCAGACAGAAATGGCTCAGAGGTCTGGTGCAGTCCATTAATTTTTGAGACACTTCCTTTGGAATTGGTCCATATAGAATTGCAACTATCCAACAAATATCTTTACTTGCTTGGCCCTTAGTACTTGGTAGACATTTTTCCTTGGCATTTTGAACACCAGGTTCTGTGTCATAAAGCACAATTTAGCTCTTTTGGAGAAGCATCTGGAATTCATCTGTGTAAAGAGTGAGCATAGACTTGTAGAAGATAGTGTTTGTAAAATGATTACCCGCCTTCTTGATTTAATAAAGTTTTATAGAACTCCAGATTCAAGTTAATACAGCTCTGGAATAACCAGTCATATTTATCATATAAAGTAACAACTAATCACAGTCTATTTTCTTTGCTGCTTTTCATTTGCTGCACCTCAAAATACTTCACAAGGAGGTAAATATCATTATCCCTAATTTATGAACAGCACAACCGGCAGACCAACCACCTTCCAAGTTTTTCATGAAGCTTTTATAAACTTGCCAAAACAGAGATCACAAATAGCAGCTAAACAACTGACATCAAACATGGCTCAATGAGAGGATGGTGGATAATTGTAATACACAAAGATCTCAAACATCTAAAGTTGCTAATATGTTACCATATATGACACGGATTTGCTGTACTGAATTACCCACAGGGGAAGTCACCAGAAAGAGAGAGACCTCTACTATTGTCAAAAGTATTTCCCTGTTCTTGTTCAGAGCAGGATTCTGAGGAAGACACAGCTATTCTGCTGTGAAAAATACATCTGCAGCCAACTACTCCTGCTGAATGCTTAAGAGGGCAGAAAACCAGCTCTAGCCTAAAAAGGCTGAAGTGACTCTTTTGGAATTGTAAGTAGTTTGTAAGTAGGTAATAACCAACATATAATTGGAACTTCCTCTAAGGAATCATCATCTTCCTTCTTAGTGAACTGAAGCTCCACCCGACAGCTCAAGTGTAGGAATGCACTGTTACACAATTCCTGACATTCAGGTAGTGTGACTTTGACTGTATTTTACATAGCTATAATTTGGAGGAAGTCTGATAGGATTAAGGAAATGTCTTTGTTATCTCTAGCCAATGATTTAGCATGAAAACAATGTGATAACTGCATTTCCTGAAACAAAATAATAGATATTGGAATGATATCACCACTGTTTCCTACAACAAAAACATTGTCTTGTCTTACATTTTTTATACAGAAATCTTAATGTTATATACTTCTTTAAAATTTCAGTTGGTTACTACAGAAGTCTTTAATATCGCTATGCAACAATTTTAATTTATGAGCATGAAAAACTATTTGTATCACATCCTCCAGCTGTAGAGTGATAAGCTGTTTAAACTGCCCCAAACAATTTTGCCAATGCACCTTCACCCTGATTAGGAATTTACTTATTATTCCAGTCTTAGGCTTTTCTTGATGAGAAATGGTAATTTGCGCCAAACTAGCATGGCAATTTCTGCATCAGTAAAATCACTGTAAGAATTAGGGCTCTGTCATTTTTCAGTTGCAGCAAATAATATAATTTCAAAAAAAAAATCAAGACTGGGTTTCATTTCCAGGTTGAATTTCGGCATGGTCACAAGCCAGCACCACGGTCTGGCACGAGAAAGCTGCCAGGTTGAGTCGACTTCTGAACCTAAATTCCTTCAACGTGGTTATGAATAGAAGTGCAGCCCCAGACTGGAAAAGAAGGCCCTGAAAAACACACATATGAAAGAGTAATTGTTGCTTTTACTGTGAAGAACATTGGCTTGGGAAAGGCATCCTGCGTCATTGTGTCCAATCCCCTGCTGTCTTAGGCAACCGCAACATATAATCCTTTTCATAAATTTATCAAGTTTCATCTTAAACTCAGTTAGGCTTCTTGCCCCCAATGAGAAGGCTGTTCCCAAGCCTCACTGTGCTGAGGGTTAGAAATATTCTTCTAATTTCCAGCTTACATTTATTCATGGCCAATTCAGGCCCATTTGTTCTTGTGCCAACATTGTTCTGTAGCTTAAATAGCTTCTCTCCCTTTCTTGTGTTTACCACCCCCAATGAACTTAGAGAGAGCAGGCTGTCCCTTCGGCCTCTCACTCTCATGCCATCTTGTTTGTACATGAGCTGCAGTCCCCCCAAACAATGGATGAGCTATTGTTTTAAGAAGGTTAGCTGAAAATAAAAGCAGCACTCTGCCTTGCTGGCTGGAACAGACCAAATCCATCACTGGCATGTCAGGGGATCAGCAGAACCCTCTGGAGCTAAAAGCATCCCAGGGAAAACAGAAGCATAAAGTCATAATAGACCAGTCAATAGACTCAGCATAATAAGGCCAGTTTAACACATTTGCCCAATTATCCCTTACTACTTTCTGAGTCTGAAAAAGCAACAACTGTTCACAGTGAAACCAACTTACTGGTCCAGAGCAGCTAGGCAGGGAAAAATTAGCATTAGAAACTGGGCTAAACTAATATTTTTAGCAATATCAGTGTGCCCGTGGGAGGAGGAAAACGCATCCACGCTTTTAGGCATAATAGGAGTAACTGGTCTGAGAGCCTGTGGTGTGTCCGAGCCAAATGTTTCTCTTACAAAGGCTCCTCTGTGCATGCCTCACTTAGGTTGGTTGCAGCTGTTAACTTCCAGGAGGCAGGTTCTGAGATTTCTTTGACAGCCTCCAATTCCAACATTGAAAGACTAACCATATTTCTCAACATATGCCAGAACAATTTAAAAAGGTTCTGGCCCCCTTGTGTTTCTAGCTTGTGTGGTTTTTCCAATGCTTTCATGATTAGGGTAGGAATTTCCAGACTATCATAACGTAAATGGCATTTTCTCAATGAAAAATATTTAAATGGTGACCATATAAAGGATGAAGTTTTATTCAAATTTCTCCTTCCATATGTTTTTATGTATATATCATATCACGTCATATTGTATAATTTCTATTTCTATTCTATTACATAGTAGTTTTGATAAGAGAGTTAGGAATGATAGAATCTTCTGTGAGGGACTCATAGCTTGAGGACTGATGACCTGACAATGTAATTCTTGCTATCATGTCTAGGGGTGCTGTTATAAGTTCGTAACTCTCTTTTGGCTTCACTAAAATATAAGTCTTTTAAGCAAACCACATTGTTCTGGGGACTTTCTGCTTTCCAATATACTCATAAAGGTCAGAAAATTCATCCATATTTTCTTTTCAAAATTATCCTTGAGCTAGACACAGATTCTTACATGCTGCTCAGGAAAAAAAAGGAAGAAAGAAAGAAAAAAGAAAAGGAAAAAATAATAAAAAAAAAAAGGTTTAAACTTCCAAAATTTCTAAAGACTCAGAGCTAAACCCAAGAAGAAAAACAAAGGGTCAAACAGATTCACAAAAAGTCCCATAAATTTATTAAAATTAAATGTGTTACAGCTGCAGGACAGTTTCTGCTTTAACACTTTTAAAAAGGATTTTTTCCTGTTACAAAAAGCTTGCTCTTGATTTCATTCACAAAGATGAAGGGCTTCTAGCATGTCTTTTTCTGGAAATCCCTAGTTTGCACATCACACATAGCACTACTAAGCCCAAAATGGAGAAGTGGACTCCTTGGGATTACATCCATCCACAATGTAGTCTTTCTGTCTGTTAGTCTGGCGCACAAGTTTGAAGAGCCAACGAGGCCCACTACTCTGCAGCACTCATGTCAGCAGTGTCATGGAGAGGCTCCTCCACACCAGGAACCCCTGAGCAGGGCATTCAACACAAGATCAGACCCTGCAGATGGAGCTGGAAGAACAGAAGAAATGTTTTCTCAAGTTGTAACCATCCTCTGCTCATGTTTTGTAGGCAAATTGGTCCATATGGCTCTTTTTTACCAAGATAACTTTTTGGCATAGGCATCATGTCTGCCACAGGAGCTAACAACAAAAAGAAGGGGCTTGCTCTTGGTGTGAGTGCATCAGGAAGGGGAGGATGGATACAACTCCACTCCCAGCCAACTTCTGATATTTCACTTTCAGTCGAAACAGATTTGCTATTGTCCTTGACACGTAATCAAACTCAGCTTCAGCTCATGTATATCTCAGCAAGACAGATTTGGCAGTGGGAGCTGGTGTTGGGCTTCTCAATAAAATTAAGCAGTCTGGGTGCAATGGATGAGGCTATTCCCTTGAATCATCTCACTGTGATTCTGACTTCCTTTTGCAGTGGGTTGGAGGGAGGCCAGTGGTTTGTCAGGGTGCCTTGGGCCAGGAAGAACATTAGGAGAGATAGCAGGGATTTATCCACTCTGTTGGAAATAAGTCCCTCAGTGATCAATGCTGATTTGCTGCTTCTCTGGACAGTCTTTCCTGGCTTCATGGATTAGATGCTGGTAGTGTGGGGAATAGCAATAAAACCATTCGCTAGCTGCATCTGGTGCAGGGAAAGCTTTCCAGAGATTATTAGTTTAAGCATCCTAGAGAGACATAATAAAAGGGGAATCATTATTATAGTGTGTGTTTTAGGATATCCATTGCTGCAGAGTCTTGGCATTATTACATAATTTAAAATAATGAAAACAATTATCCTTCAGGATAAAGGAGACTTTGAAGGCTCTGAGCTATATGTCACTGCCTATGTATTTGTTAGGATAGAAGCACCCTGGCTTGGCCATTAGGAGCTGAGTAAAATTCAAGCTCCAGAGGTGAATTTTGGGCAGCAATAGGAAAGCTGTGAGAGTTGGTTTCAACATTATCCCCAGCAGAAGTGACTTCTACATCTCAGAGCTCGCCACTGGGCTGCTGCATAGCTCAGCCCTCAGCCCATTTGTCCTCAGCTTTGTGCTTCTCTGTGGTGCAGGGAAGTACAGAAGAGCAGGAGTGGGTTTTGTCCACAATGGATGCAGTTTTCCTGCATAGCCACCCAATCAAGACTGTATCTGCAGATGTGTTCGGACACAAAAATCAGAAGGAGATTCACAAAGTTGTTACTGCATCTTAAAATCTCAAGCTAAAAAATTTCTTCCAGAAACTACTTGAGTGCTTTAGGACTCAATGTTTGTGACCCTTGTAACAAGTCTGAGATGGCAGGAGTGAATTCCAAAAGGAAACCAGAAGGACCCAACTCCTGAGTTATAATTATTGTAACCCATAGTAATTGCTTCATGGATATGCACGTTAATTACTTCGATCTGAGCATGGGGGCTTTTTCCCTCATACTTTTTCCTTCTGTGTCATTGACTTGCTGTATGACTCCCATCATACTGTAGGTATTGGAAACTATAGGGACTCTGAATTTTTTAGTAAGGGAATGCTCTTTCTGAGCCTTCACTACAGATTTAGTTGCTTCACTTCAACCCTCCAACTTTATAAATGTCAGCTTTCACTTACTTGTCTCAAAAAAGACTTGGAAAATCCAGTCAATTCAAATCAGTAATATGCCTACCAGACACTGCATAAAATGTGTTACTTACAGGCAAAGTATTAGTGATTATGTATTATTTTGTCTATATTAAAATATATCAACACTGAACATATTGTCATAGTTACTGGAGGACGTGAGAGGGCTACACAGGCGAGTTGTCTTTATAAAATACCATGTGTTTGGCATGAAAGTTAACTGAGGCAAACATTCTGTTTCAGTAGATGTCATACAACCACCAGTGTGGTGGAGATGACCCTCTCCCACACTAACACAGCCTTGAAGGACTGGCATTATGGAAAGCATCCCAATTTCGAAATGCTGGACCACTTTCATCTCCCTTGCACACTACAAACTCTTCTTGAAGTCAGTGGGTGGTTGGTCCTAAAAGAAAAGCTGTGTTGAGAGCCGTGTTTTTCTTAGATAAAAGTTACATAGAGAACTCACCCTCTCTGTGCGTTCCTCTGCTTTCCCCAAGTATCAACAGCAGCAACTATTTGTATTGGCCACACCATTATTTTAAACAGAAGGGACTGACTTGCACGCAGCCCACACACAATCAAAATCACCATGCAGCATAAAGCTGATGTCACCTCTTGCTGCTACTCACATAATGGATTTTGTTCTCAGTCTGTGCACCAGTACAATTTTTTTTTTTTTGCTAGGCAAAACCGTTCCAAAAGAAAGAAATGACTGAATCAAAACAGTCTGAAGGATTACCAAAATTCAAAATGAAATGGAAAATACAAAGATGCCACATGAATATTCTTCTTAAAAGTCTCTATCAGCTTGATTTTCACAATCCATTTTTCTTTTCAAATGGAAAAGTGGAACATCCCCCTCCAAGAGCTAAATGTACACAAATTCCAGGCTTCTCTTCTTTTTCCCCAAAACAATCACTTTGTCACCAAGGCACATATGGGAAATTTATGCCTGTCTCTGCTTGGCATCACTGCCACCTCATGGATTAATGAATTCTGTGTCCTCTAATTCCCCCACATTATGCACCTCTGTTTTGTATGAGTAGCCAAATGTATCAAGATTCATTTTAATGAATGTGAGTCATTCTCCTTATTCAGAAGGCAGGGCTGTTATGTTGTAAGTAAGCACACCATTAGCTGTGCTAAAAATAAACAGGCATTACCTGCAGGAAAACCTATACAGTAAAAGTACACACTGCTAAGTACATTAAAAAAAAAAAAAAGACATGGCCTGGAATGGTGTTCATTCTGTAGACAAAGGAAACAGGATGGATTGCACAGGGTATGTACTGTATCTTTCCACCAAGAGGTCTGAAAGAAGAGTAGGGCCTGAAGATTACTTTACCGTGACATTTAAATTCAAAACACTTAATGTCAGCATACATTTTGTCAATGCTTTACTATGC